CTCGGCTGTCGCCTTCACATCTTCAGGGAGAGCCCTTGCCGGTCAGCCCCAGAGAGGGGTCCTGCTGCCGGGCCAGCTGGATGGGGGGATCCTGGGTTCTGCCCTCCAGAACCCCACCCGAGCCCAGCGGGCGGCCGGGCTCCCCTCGCCCCTCCCCCCTGCGCACTCGGGCTGGACCCCACCAGGCCTCCTGCGAGAAGGTCCCTGATCCTGGGAGGGCACCTCCTCCCGGACCCCAGGGAGTGGGGGAGGGGGCAGCGCCCATGGGGTGGGGAATTCAAGGACCACCCTGAGCAGGGCATGTGCATGTGTGTGCACGTACGTGTGTGCATGTGCATGAGTGTGCAGGTGTGTCGCTGTGCATGCGTGTGCATGTGTGCGTGTGCGTGCATGTGTGTATGTGCATGCGTGTGCAGATGTGAATGTGTGTGTGCAGATGTGTGTCTGAGCGTGGGCGTGTGCACGGGTGTGTGTCTGTGCGCGGGTGTGCGCGGGTGCGTGTGTGCTGTGGATGGTAAAATACCATTTAAGAAGTTGGTATTCATGGACATCTCTTGAATATGAAAAGAAAATATTTATTTCCTTTTTCGCTTGTGAATCAGACGCTCTATTTAAAGAAAGTGCCCTCTGCTGGGTTGGGCTGAGTTATTACCCCTTAAGGAAATAAAGGAGCCCGCCGGGGAGGTATTCTTAGTCATTCTCTCTCCTTTTTTCTAAAATTCCTTATATACCCGTGCCTCGGAGCTGGCCTAAGATAGTGCAGATCTCACGCATTCCTGGGCCCGGCCCCGCCGCCCTGATGTCACTTCACTGCTGGGGGCGGGGAGGGGCGGGGGCCTCCGTGGTCTCCCACCACCAGGCCCCCGACCCGTGCCAGGCCCTGCCCTGCGGCTGTCTGAGCCCCGCCGTCCTGGCAGAGCCCCCTCGCCCCCGTCCAGCCCGGCAGAGCCCCCGGCGTCTCCATCCAGCCGTTACTTGCACACAGATGCGGGACCCGTTTGGGGCGTCTGTTACACCTCCCAACACATTCTGAAAGCCATTAGGGGCCCCCCGGAAGTTGCTTGGCCTAAAATGAAACTCCGGGCAGCCCCGGGGGGCGGGTGGCACAGTCATAAGCCAGGGCCCGGGAGGGCTGTTGTATAACCCCCGGGCTTTACACCCGACAGGCCGGGCCAGCGGGGTGGGCGGCTCTGTCTGGCCTGAGCATCCTGGCTCGGGCCTGGGCAGCTGCACTTGGACGCTCCAGGTGGCCCCAGCCGTGGCCCAGGTGAGGCGGCCGATCTGGACGGCCCCGGGAAGGCCTGACCGCCCTGATCCTGGATGTGGCTGTGCTGCTCGACAATGCCACGGGGTCTGGGGTTTTGGGGTCCTGCGCCTTCTTTCCAGGCTGGGGAGCTCACGTCTGCATCGCGCTGTCCTGCCCCTCACCCCAGGCTGGCTCCAGACAGGCCTGCCAGGGGGTGGCTCTGCCATGGGACAGGTCCCGCCCTCCAGACCCCTGGGCCAGGATGCTGCTGGGAAACCCCTGGAAGTGGCCAGGCCTGCGCTGGGGGCCCTCCCCATAGGGGTGCAGGGGACAGGGTCCAGGCCTCCCCCCTTCCAGCACCGTCGCGCCCGGGCCTTCCCCACACCTGGGTGTCTGTGCGGCTGGCGGCGGCTCCTGCCTGGCCACAGGCAGTGGGGACCAGAAAACAGTGCAGCTCCCCAGGGGATCCCGAGTCTGAGGTGGGGATGAGACCGAGCACCCTGGGGCCCATGGGAGTCCCGCGGTTTCCCCATTTTCACAGCAGGTCCATCCTGGGGGCATCACAGGTACAGGGCCCCCTCATCCCGGGGCTGGGCTCCCCACTGGGCACCGTCAACTGCCGCGGGTGCCAGAGAGGGCCCAGCCTCTCCCTCGTGCAGGCCGCGCACCTCGGGAAACCGGAGGCTGTTCCCAGCACCCGGGCCGAGACCCGCCCCTCGAGCCAGGCCTCCCCGGCCCGGGCTGGGCGCAGATTCCCAAGACTCCGAGCCTCGCTGCGTCCCCTGGACCCCCCGGCCCTGTGCCCACAGTCTGTTTGTTGATTGAACAAACAAACACGATTATTAATACTCAGGACACAGAGCCGAGGGATGAGGTCAGCCACTTGAGCAAATTCCTCGGGCCGTCGAAAGCCCGCCCGCCCGTCCATGTGGGCATTCTCCACCGGCTCCTCAGGCAGAGGCCCGGCGAGTGCTGGCCTCTGCGGCTGGGACCAGGACCCCCTGGGCACCCTGGCACAGGCTCGGCCCTTGGCCGACACACGCTCGATGCGGAGCAAGCAGCCCACAAGGAGACCGCATGCTGGGGCCCGGCCTCCCGACGGGCCCAGTCGCAGGCCCTGGACACAGCTGCGCCCCCGCCCTCCGGGCCTGCACACCGGAGCCTCTTAATTAGCAAAATAAACAGCATGATGATAAATGTCATGATCTGCTCAACGAATGATAGAATTGTTTTTTCAGACCCCAGGGCGATAAACGCAATCACGGGTGATTCATCCGGGCAGGGGGCCGCGTCTGGGCGGCGGGGCCGGGGCTCCTCGCAGGGACTCACCCCTCCCTCTGGACACAGCCGGGAGCCCCCCGCGCACCCGCTGCCACCGTCCCCTCGACGTGGCCGCACTGCCCCGGCTGGGGCGCCTCCCTCCCGGGTGACGCGGGCTCCGCGGCGGCCCCAGCACCAGCGGGGTTCCGGGCTGGGCGTCAGGCACGCTTGTGCGGCTCGTGCGGCGGGACCCGGCCCGTGGGCCTGCGGCTCGCAGAGTGAGGCCAGTGTGGACCCCTCCCTGCTGGAACAAGGATGACCCCTTGGCCTTGAGCCTGAGGTCAAAGGCCTCCCGTGCCAACCTCAGCAGGGCGACCAGCGCTTTGGCCACGGGGGGTGGCCGACCACCTGCAAGCCGTGCTGGCCGGGCCAGTGCACCGGCTGGTCGCGTATCCGTGCTTGGCTCCCGGACTGGTGGGCGGGTGCCCAGGCCGCTGCGCCTGCCACCAGGCCTGGACATCCTCCTCACGGCCACCACCTCGGCTGCACAGCCTCGCCTGCCCGCCTTCCAGAAAGGGCCCCCACACGCTGCAAACCTGAGCGCCCTGCAGTCCAGCACCAGCCACACACCCGGCCGCGGAGCCGCCCGCTGCCCGGCCACCTCTGCCGCTCCCGGCTGACCCAAGGGCCGAGCCCGGCCGTGCCTTTCCCTTCCCGTCCACCTGGCTTCCCGAGCCGGGTCCGCCGGAGGCCCCTCCCGTCAGAACCCGGCCGCCCCAGCCCGGAGGCAGGACAGAAACCGAAAACAGCTACCACCAGCGTGGGGACCGGGGTGGAAAATTCCAGCAAGGCCCTTAGGAGGAACGAAACTGCCCCAAGAGCCCGTGAGTTCCGTGGGCCACAGAGGAAGCCCCCAGGTCCATTCTAGGCCGGGCCTCAGGGGCTCTAGGGGGCACCCCCGCTCACGCCCCGGCCGCCTGTCTCTGGCCTCCATGCAGCTGCCCGCAGCCTCTGGTGGTCAGGGGCGAGGCCGTGGGGCTGAGCCCGGCCGAGAGGCAGTGGGTCCTGAGCACGAGGCCGGGGGGCTGGAGTCGGCGCCCATGTACGAGAAGGTGCCAGGTGGGCAGGCACAGCTGACGCTGGTGTGAAGGGGCTGTCGGGTCAGTGCCAGGGACAAGGCTGGCGGCAGACGCGGGGCGAGTGGCAAAGTCAACAGGCCCCGGCTGTCTGCGCGGCCGCCTGCCCCAGCCTGGCACTGGAGGTGCCGGGGCGATACGGGCCATTTCTTTTTCAAAGAGCAAACAGGGACGTGTGTACCAGAGCAAAGTCGCCCAAGGTCGCCGAGCCTCCTGCAGGGGTGCTAGCCCCAGCCCTCCTCACCAGCCTGCACGCCTGCTCCTGAGCTGCCGCGGGGGGGCAGGCCAGGTCCCCAGGGCCGCCTCCCGCCCAACCGCACCTGCCCATGTCCGAGGAGCACCCTCCCAGCGGCGAGGACCACCCACCAGGTGCACCTGCAGGAGGCGCCTCCCAGGCCCACACCATGCCTGGAGAGCGCTCGGGGTAGCGTGGATGGCGGGGCAGGCCCCAGGGCAGACCCCAAAGGCTGGGAGAGGTTGCACCTCTGAGCCTCGGGCCAGCGGGGACAGGTGTCGGGCGAGGCTCAGCACCTGCCAGGACCCAGGAGGCCCCACGCCCCATGCTGTTCACGTCACGTGGAGCTCAAGGCTGCGAGGACCTCTCCTGGGCCCCGGGGGGCAGGGGTGGCGCCCTGGTGCTCCGCATAGCTGCTCCCTCCTCCCAAGGTGCCCTGCCCCCGCGCCCCAGAAAGCAGGGCACCCTGAAGGTGTCTGGCCCTGCATGTCCAGGCGGGGCCTGCCCGGGATGCCCACCGGCCTGGCTGCACTGGGTGTCGGGCCAGGCTTGTGGTGGGGGGGGCGTCTCTGCAGGGCTCCAAGCCCGCCAGCCACCTTGAGGGTCCCGCAACTTTGGGGCCCAGTGACCCTGGTGGCTGAGCAGGGTACCCAGGGAGTGTGCCCCTCACTTGAGCCTCCGCCTCCTGACCCCACACGGGACCCAGAACCGGCAGGTGGGCACAGGTTGCTGGGAAGCTAAGCCACGAGGAGCCCCAGCAGGCTGCCCAGTGCTGACTGGGCAGCGGGCACTGGCCGCCAGGCCCCCGGAAGAACCTTCCAGAAGGACGTCCACTCTGGGCCCCCCGCCATCTCCCATGCTGCCAGGACCGCACCCCTAGCTGAGAACCCGGCGGCCGCTCTTGCACCCGAGCCTCGAGCTCACGAAGGACACGTCCCGGGAAGGACCGGCACAGGGGATGCCCGTCAGGCCTCTGAGGCCCTCGGGGTGCGTCCAGCGCGCAGGGACACAACAGGCCTGGGAACCGCGGCATTCGGGCACCGTCCTGCCCCCTCGCCAGCCGCGCTCGGGGGCTCCAGACACAGCGGCGGGCGCGGGCGGGCACAGGCGGGCGCGGGCTCACCTCCCATCCGAAGCCGGCCTCCTTCAGCGAGGCCCTCGGGGCCGCCGTGCACGGGCCGAGCCGCTCCCCCATCTCCACCTTCTTCTTGGCCCAGATGCCCAGGCCGGCGCCCGGGATGGAGGACTCCCGGAGCTCGAAGTCCGGAGGGATGGGGATGTCGTCCGGAATGTAGACGGGGGCCTCGTAGGGCGAGCCCTCCTTGGGGGTGAAGTCCTCGCTGGTGGGGAAGGGGGACGGCGGCCCCACGGGGATGGGGGACATGATGCTGTCCTCGGTCTCGTCCCCGGCGCTCTCGCCGGCCAGCAGGTCCGGGTCGGCCTCGCACATGCTGTTCACAGCGTCGCCGTCGCCTGCGGGGACAAGGCAGCGTCAGCCGCACAGGCCTCCCCACGCAGGCCCCGCCGCCCCCCGCACGCGCTCAGGCCTGGACCCGCTCGGGCCTGGACACACTGTCGGGCCTGGACCCGCTCGGGCCCAACACGCTCAGGAAGAGAACGCCCCGCGAGGCCTCGGCCACACACCGTAGCCTCCATAGGAAACGTCCGGACGGCGGGTCCAGAGGCCGAGGCAGCACTGGGGTGGGGGCCGCCGCAGGCCAGGGTCTCCAGAGCCACACGAGCCGCTAAGAGCCTCCCCATCAGCTGCTCTTTAAAAGGGTTGTTCTCTGTTACGGGGATTTCATCGCAATAAAAAAGAAAAACAGCCGGAGGCGCATTGTGGAGGGGGCGGCCTCTGGCCTGCAGGCCCCCAGGCACCCCTCGGGCTGGCGGGAACTGCCCACCCCCTCCCCCTGCCACGGGAGCCTCGGGAGATGGGCCTTTCGGAACCAGAATGAGCTCAGCCCGGGGCGCCCTGCACACAGGCCGCACGGGGAGTAACAAAGTTTTCTTTCTAAAGAAATCCAAGTCTGGAAGAAGGAAAAATGCCCGGGGATGACACTTATTTGCTTAGCAGCGTCCACACTGGTAACTGCGCCGCGTCACGTGGCCAGCGGCTCCTTTCTAGCTGGCTGGGAGGGTCTTTCAGGGAAGGGGGGCGGCCAAGCCACCCCGAAGCCCCCGGGCGGCCGGCCCACGACTGCCTGCGGCCTGCGCAGCCGAGCAGAGCATGGGGTCAGCGCCCACCCGTCCCGGAGCCGTGACGGCCGCACTCGCCCGGAGGGGCTGCTGCGGGAGCTTGGCCGGCTGGACGTGGCCAGGGTCCCCGGATCTACCTCAGGGACGTGTGCATGTGTGTGCGTGTATGGACACATGTGTGTCCCGTGGGTGTGCCCTGTGTGTGCGCATGTGCACATTTGTGTGTGTGCCCTGTGTGTGTCCTGTGTGTGCATGTCCTCTGTGTGTGTGCGCGTGCCCTGTGCTGGCGCACGTGTGTCCTGTTCAGTGCTACCTCCCGAAGGTCCGCGCCCGCCGGCGGGAATCAGGCTTTTAGGGCCGGCTCCATTTGCTCCGCGAGAGGGGCTCCTGCTGGCTGCAGCGCGGCCGGGCCTGGCCTCCCGCCCCGCGGTCACAGGGGTTAAGTGATTGCCTGAAGCCGCCAGGAAAACCCGCCGCTCCAACCTGCCGCCCCCACTGCTGAGGGAGAAAGCTCCCTCTTTGAGGGGGGCTGTGAGGAGGCCTCATTACTGAGCAGAAACATTTGGAGAAGGTGGGGGGTAGGGGGGCTGGCCCCGGGGCCGAGGAAGCAGCCAGCAGGCTCGGAGGCTGCAGGAGCTGCACCGACACATCGGCGCCCTGTCCTAGAGCCACTGGGAAAACAGCTTTGACACTGCCCTCCTCAGCCCCCCAAAATGGCTGGCTGCCCTCAAGACGGTCGGCTACCCCCCAAAACAGTTGGCTGCCCCCAAAACAGTTGGCTGCCCCCCTGAGATGGTCAGCTGGGGAGGGGCTGCCCTGGCTGGCTGGGTGTTTTCTGCAGCGGCAACCCACACCCCACGTCCATCCTGCAGTCCAGCTGTGCTCCCTGAGGGCACTGGGGTGCCGAGACCAGGGGGCTTGCGCACCCGGCTTGTTGGGACCCGCAGGCCCTACTCGGGTCTAGCGGTAGTTCCAAGCTAGAGGCTCCTGGCTGTGCCCTTCATTCCTGCAGTTCTTTTGGGGGACCCGCCACGACAGCAGAGGCGCGGGTGGGGCTGGGGTGGGCAGCCAGACCAGACTTGATGGTGGCCACGGCCATCAGGCCACGGGCACTGACCGTGCAGGCCAGGCCACCCAGGCCCCGCGTTCGGGATGCTGTGTGCTAACCCTGCGACGGTCATGCCCACCGTGAGGGGACCAGCTGCCCTGGCCTGGGACGCTTGGGGAGCCCCTAGTTTAAGGCTGGGTCTCTCAGCCTCTTGACGGGGCCTCGGCGGTGCCGGAGGTGGTCCAGGTGGGGCCTCAATTCCCTCTGCCAGTATTTAAGGGTATGGAGAGAAAGGGGTCTCCAAATTAGGACCCACGTGCTCGACCAGCTGGCGGCAGATGGTGCCTCCCACATGTCCCCTCGACACGGGGGACCCCTTAGCCAGATAAGGACCTCAGTGTCCCCGAGGCCCAGCCCTGCTCTGTGCCCGGCCAGCTGCAGGCTCGGGCTGCCTGCGTGGCCCCTGCCAGTGCGTGTGGCCGCCGGCTCCGCCGCCCTGGGGTGGGCCTGCAGTGGACACTGCCCTGAGGGGCCGGAACAGCACCTGAGGGGAAACCTGGCGGAGTGTGAGCAGGTGTGTGAGTGTGCGGGGGTGTGAGTATGCAGGTGTGTGTGAGTGTGCAGGGGCTCCCACGTGTATGCATGTGCATTGTGTGTGCACACCTGAGTGTGTACGTATGCGGGCGTGTGTCTGGGTGTGTGCAGGCGAGCTGCACATGTGAATGTGTGTGCAGGTGCAGGAGTGTTGGGTGTCGGCGAGCACGTGTGCACAGCGGTGGATGAGTGTGTACGGGGCCACGGTTGGGCCGTGATGTCCTAGGTGACCCGCCTCCCTGGGCCCTTTGCTGGGAGGACCTGCTGTGCTCCCTCCCCTTGGGGGCCGGGAGGGCGCCAGGCCGGGGGACCCCAATGCCATGCTGCCTCATCCTGTCCATCAAGCCTGAGGCTGCCCCCCACCCCCAGCCCAGCAGGAGCCACTGGGGTGGGGGAACCCGGGGCAGGCGGGGTCTGGGAACCTGAGGTCCGGGAGCCGCTGGCAGACGCCCCAGCCCCTCACCAGGGTCTCCCGCAGGCCGAGCTGTGCTCATGGGTGCCGCGAGGCCCAGAGCGGGGCGGCGCTCCCCTGTGGTGACAGGCGCACCCAGGCAAGGCAGTGATCCCGGAATGTGGCCCCTGCCGCATCGCCCCGACCCGGCTCTCAGCTATAGGCGGGCGGGGGCTCCTGTGGTCCCCGCAGCCCCCCCCACCTTGTGCAGGGGCCGCCGGCCCTGAGAGTGGGCCTCCGCTGGGGGCCGTGGCCAGTGTCCCTGAGCCGCCAGCTCCCTGAGGGCCCGGCCTCCTGCCACGCCCCTCTCTGGACCCCGGGAAAGGCCTGGCCCCGAGGAGGCGCTGGGCTGCTGAGGAGAAGCAAGGTGACGGGTGCTCTGGTTACTTGGGGACTCTGTCCTCCCAGCTGGGCGTCTCAGCATGGCCTGCGCCTGCAGCACCAGGGGAAGGAGTTTCCAGCTCCTGCCTGGCCACTCCAGTCACGCGCGTGTGCCCGCACGCCCTGCCCCGAGCCCGAGAACCACAGTCAGGGCTTGAGGGGGGCCCAGACCAGGAAGGGGCTAGCCCCACGGGCCGGCTCCTGGACCGTCCAGATCGCTGGAGGTCCCGCCGCATCAGGCCACAAACCCACCCCTTGGCGGGAGATGGCGATGGCGGCCATAGTGCCAGGAGCCTGCTGGATGCCCACCTGCCCGCAGCAGCCCCCCTGGGTGCCACTGCCCCACTGCGCGACGCCACACTGAGCTGCGGAGCCGGGGCGGGCCAGCTGCCGCGACGCCACAGATCAGGGGCCAGGAAAGGGCCCCGGAACCAGACAGCCGCAGTGCGTGTCCCAACCACGCGAGGGCCCCGCCCTCAGGCAGAGGGGTCGAGCCCTGGGCACCACGGGTGAGTGGTGGTTAGCAACTGGATGCCCAGCCGGGCTGCCAGGCTCCCTCTCTAGGGGGGCCCCCTCCACTGCCCACCGTGCCCCGCAGGACGCTGGCCTGGCCCATCACCGCAGAGTTCCTCCTCTCTCGGGGCCTGGCAGAGGTCACAGGCCCCGCAGCCTAGTGCCTGGACGTGCCCGGGCCAGCTGGCGCAGGCCCAGCCTGCAGGGGGCCCAGTGTGGCCCAGGGGGGCATGTGCACCAGCCTCGGCCGGCCCCGGGGGTGGGGGGCGCCCAGAGACCATGCCTCGTGAAGCGGCAGGCCGAGGCTCGGGTCGCCCTGGGACACGGAGCCCTCCAGGGCGGAAAGGGGCGTTTCTGCTGCTTTGAGGCTCCTGGTCCACATGCAGGACGGGGTGAGGCCGCCCACACCCACAGAGCAGGAGGGCACCAGGGCAGGCCCAGCTGAGCCCCTTGCTGGGCGTGGATCCCTCGGGCATCCTGTCCACGACCTTGCTGAGGTGGCCAAGCGCGGCCTGGTCAAGGTCACCCTCACGCCCGGGCCAGCCTGGGCTCTGGGAGAGCTGCCTGCGCCCCACCCCTGGCTGAGAGGCTGCTCTGCCCATGGCTCTGGTCCCCCGGGATGTCCACCCTCCCGCTGCCCCGACATGGACACCCTCCTTAGCTGTCAGGCGCCCCCAGCCCGGCCCTCGAGGGCCCAGGCCCCGGCCTCCCCCGGGGCCGGGCTCTATTCTGGGGGCTGGCGGCTCGAGGCGGGATGCTGCCCCCCGCAGCCTCCCCGCGCCCCCCGGGCACCCGCGCCGCTCGAGCCGCTGTAATTTTTATCAAGGCTTGTTCCTGGTAAAAGCCTCTTTGTTTCAGGAGATGTGATTTGGCCTTTTTTCTTTCTCTCCTTTATTCCACGGTTAATATCCCACTTCCCCGAGCCCCGGGGCAGCGCGGTGGCCTGGGATCGCTCAAGTCTCACTGTTTTTCTTCTAAATCACAGCTGACCCCGCTCCCGCCCGCCGGCCCTGGGAGCCGCCTCCCTCCCTGCCCCCTCGCCTCCTGTGTTTGTGAGGCAATGGGGGACCCGGCCCCCAGACCCCTCATATATCGGGGGGTCGGCCCCAGACAGGGCCTGTCCAGTGGGCTGGCGTGTGGGGACGGCCGCCCTATGTGGCTGACCCCCGCCATGTGGCTGGGCCACGCCCCCCAACCTGCTCGAGCCCTGGCCGCTGTGACCACAGTACCCGCAGCACCCCAGCCTGTTCCCTGTCCCCAGACCCACAGAAGGGGCTCAGGCTGCCCTCCTGGCCGCCGACGGACCCCTGCCCTGGACAGGCCGGGCACTCTTGCAGTGGCCACAGGGCCGGCTGCGCCTCGGCCCCCAGCCCCACTCCAAGGGACACGTTCCGCCTTGGTGACCGTGGGGACACTATTCTGGGCGCTCGCGGCCGGGCAGGCACCCCTGCACCCCATCCACTCTGCAACACACCACCCCGCGGGTGGGAAGCCAGTGTCAGACGGGGTGGAGCGCCTGGGGACCAGGGTGGGGGGGCTCTCACTGCGGCCAGCCGGGTGCCGGGGTCTGGAAGTACCGTCTCCGCTGGGTCTGGGAGCCGCGCTGGCCACACCGGGGGGGGCCCAGGCCTTCCCGCTGGGCTGGGTGTGTTGGGGTCACAGGCCTGAGACTTTGTGGGATCCTGGGCCCTGTGGGTGCAGGGGGCGCCAGGGCATGTGGCAGAGACCGGGGCCTGCTCGGCCTGTGGCCGGGTGCACAGGGCCAGGGGTGCCCAGGGATCCTGTGGCCTGGAGGCTGGGGTGGGTGTGGGGCTGGGGGGAGAGCCACCAGCCTGTCCCCACCACCCCTGCCCGCTGCTGCGCCACCCCAGAGGAGGCCGGGCCAGGGGTGCCCCAGTGGCTGCCCCGGGGCAAACGCCGGGAGAAATGTGCCCTCGGGGGCCAGGGAGGGACCGCTGGCCGGTGGGTTCCTCGCCCCCCGCTCCCGTCGGCCCGGCTGAGGAGGAAAGGGTTAACCGTGAGCAAACACCCCAACAACCGCCACCCAACTATTTATAGACATATTTATCTCTCCGTCCCTACCAACCGGGCCCGCCTGCCAGTCAGGCCGCGACTCCACGCCAGCCTGGGCGCTGCCCCGAAATAAACGTCCCCGGGGGAGAGAGACCGGAGCCCCCCTGGCAGGGAGGCCGGCCGGGGCTCGGGGGCAGGGTCCTAAGGGATGGGCGCCCGCGGCGGCTCTCCCGGTGGGTGGGGGGAAGCCGGCCCTGGCCGGCGATGCAGACGCTGTGGGGGGACCGTGAACAGGGGGCGCGAGCGGGAGGGAGGAGGGTCGGCCTGGGGCCCCAGGGTGGCTCGGCCCGCACAGGCGGCTGGTCCCGCGGCCCCGGGCTGCCGCTGCTCGCCCCACCCCGCCCCCCGAGCCGGCTGCAGCTCCCGCCCGCTCCGCGGCCGCCCACCCCGGCCCTCTGGCCGGCTCCTGCCCTAATAAAGACGTTTATAGTTTTAACCATCAAATAAAGTGCTTAACTGCGCCGGGCGTCCCTGCCCAGCCGGCCTGCGGCTCCATTTAGCAGGCCAGTGGCGAGAGAAAAAAAAGCAAGAAGGAAAAAAATTCATTAATTTTTATTAACAGGGAGAGCCATTTGTCCCCGTGACAATATTTGACTTGTCGGAATGATTTTCACCTCTGCCATGGGGTGGGCGCCTCCCCCATACATCACCCGACGGCGGCGCGCGCGGCCGCAGTCATTAGGCAGTGAATTAACGACGCTCCCCACCACTATTAATCACCCTGACAAAGGCGTTAGCGCGCCGCTGACCCGCGTGGCCGGCCGGGACCGCAGCCGCCAGGGCCGGCTGGCTCGGGGCTCCGCTCCGCGGGCTGGGCCTGCGGCTCGGGGCGGGGCGGGCGCTCCCCGCTGACGGCGCGTCCCCCCGCGCCTGGCGGGTCGGACCCCCGGTGCCCGCGGTCGCCCGATGGGCCCCGAGCGAGGGCAGCGCCCGCCACCCCGGCCGGGCCACGGAGGCTGGGCGGCAGGCCTGCTGCGCCCGGGGCCGCAGGACAGCGGGCCTCTGCCCTCGGAGCCGCGGGCAGGGACGGAGAATCTCCGCAGAGACGTCTCCTGTCGGACCCTCCCCCAGGGCAGGGGCGCACGGGACCGGGGGCTCCTTCACGAACGTTTAGGGAACCACCGCGGGCTTCTCTGGGGAGCCGTCCACAGCCCGGCCCCGCCCCGCCCGTCCACCCGCACGAGCTCGCCCGGCCTCGGGGACGGCGTGGCCAGGCCTCAACAGGCGGCCCCGAGGAGTCCCGGAGGCCCCGGAGTGGGCAGCTGCGGTGGCTGAATGGACGGGCCCACGTGGCCCGACCCAGGCCCCTCCTCAGTGGGGCAGCAGCCCACTCGCGGGTCCCGCAGGGAGGTCCTGGGCGCTGGACGCAGCCGGGCAGGCACCCCGAGGACAGGGCTGCTCCCCTCACTCCCGCTCCACTGTAACAGCTTCTCTGCTCGTTGATCCAATTAGTCACCCCCGGCTTGGGCCCGTTTCTCCCGCTGCCCCTCGCCCCTGTGGGTGGCAGCGGTGAGCGCAGGGCGGGCGCAGGGCAGGCCCAGGGCAGGGTGGGGCGCAGCGTGGGCAGCCATGACGCCTGCCGTTTCGCCCCCCTCTGGCCTCCTCACCTCTGGCGTGCAGCAAAGTTCCTGATATTCCTCGTGCGCCACGGACCCCAGCCGCGGGCTCCCACCTGCCCCTCATCTGGCGGCACTCGGTGCTTGACGACACGGGGCTGGGGTGGCACCTGCCCTGCCTCCCTGCAGGACCCTCTGGCTGCCCCCACTAAAGAGACCCCAGGGGACAAGCCTCGGCTCCGGCCATGAGGGCCACGGGCCCAAGGGAGGGCGGGGGGTGCCCAGGAAGGGAGAGGGGCCCTGCCAGAGCCTTCAGAGGCTGTGGGCCTCCCTGCCCGCACTCTTGCCTCTCACGCTCCCGCTGGGAGTGCAGTGGGTGTGGACGCGCCCCAGCCCTGTGCCCACCAGGCCTGAGTGGGGGCCCTTCTGCGGGCGGCCAGAGGCGTGTGGTGCAGAGAGAGCCGCTGGGTGCATCCGGCAAGGCCCTCAAGGCTCGGCTGGTGCCCGCGTCTACCTAGTGGGCGCTGACGGCCGCCTCCCAGGGCCGGCTCCGGCGTCTGGGGGTGCAGGGGCTCCTGGGCAGTGGTCACTCCGGTCAGCCTGGGATGGCCTCCCACAGCTGGGGCCTGAGGCCGCTGGAAGCCAAGCGCCTGGCCCGGGTGCCACGCCTCTCTGCCTGCCCCTGCCCACCTCAGGGGCCCCCCTGCCGCGGGGTGACTGCTCGGGAGCCCCCAGGCCGGGGCGTCGGGTCCGGCTGCACCCTGCACAGGCCCCACCTCCTGAGGCCGGGTGGGAGCAGGAGGCCCCCGGCTGAGTGGGCTGCGGCTCGGTCTCCTCTCCAGAATGCCCCAAAGGCAGGAGAACGCCTCGGCGGGCTTGCCGGCGGACACCTGGCCCGGCCCCGGGCGGCCCTGGGTCTGCACAGTCACGGGCGCGTCGCCCCAGCCAGGGCGGCCACGCCGGCTCCGCGAGCACTCGGGCTGTTTCTCGTTACGTGCTCGCATCAATTTGATTTTCTCTGCTAAGTGGAAGGCGGTGGGAAAAGCTGGGTTTGGAAATCCATGATTTCCTGGCAGTTAATGAATTTCAGCCAAACGGAAAGCAAGGTGAGGTTCCAGCGCGGCGCTCAGATCAGACACAGGAAAGACCAGGGGCTAAGGGGGGGCTCCATCCGCCACCCCAGCCCTCCCTGGCCCAGGGCAGCCCGCACTAACCCCCCTTGTGTGGAGCATTCGGTGGTGCCTGAGCTGTGGCCTGACAGCGGAGGCGGCCCCTGCCTTGAGCCCACGGAGCCCAGCCTGAGCCCATGGGCCCCCGCCCTGAGCCCACAGGCCCCGGCCTGAGCCCGGTGGACGTGCCAGGAGAGAGCACCCTGCCCACGGGGGCTCTGGGAAGGAGCGGGGAGGAGCCTGTGGTGCCCGCAGCCGGCCCGTCTGCGCATGAAGGTGGGCGCCCAGCTAGAGGCAGTCTCCCGGGTGTGACAGATATCAGGGCCACGTGACCCACCACGGCACCTGGACATGATGGTGGGGGCGACTGGGGTGCAGAGACCCTGTATATTGGGGTGCAGGCCCGAAAGCCCCGTGGAGCTCTGTCCCACTGGCGGGTGAAGGGTGAAGGCCCTACAGACAGAGCACACGCCCCCCCAGGACCCCCACAACGCAGCCCTCCCCTGAAATTGCTTCCGAGGTGTCTCTCCCGCCAAGGCAGCCAGACCTGCACCGGGCGCCACCGAAACCGGCAGCGACCTCATCTCTCTCGCGCCCGCTCCCCCGGCCCTCCTGGCGCCCCCCGCCTGCCACCTGCACTTAGCCGGCAATTCCTCAGCCCCGCACGCCTCCCAGCCTCCACCCCCGCGGGGAAGTTTCCTGTCCCGTCAGCAGGTGGCCCGCGGGGTGAGCAGCCTCTCCCGCCGCCGGGCGCCCGCCCCAGGCTGCACACGGACACCGGCCGTGTCCCTGACACGCGGCCCCTGGCTGCCGGTTAGAAGCCAGGAAGTGAATTCCTCCCCCGAAACACTCTGTCTCCTCAAATTGCCGCCACGCTGTCCGCCAAGCCCAGGACAACCTAAAATTACTGTAAATCGCTTCTGGAACCTTAGAAACCACGAAAAGGAGCCCCTCGCCCCTGTGCTTCACACGTCTACTTAAGCTGTGGCCGGCAGGCGAGCACCTAGAGCCCCGGGGCGCGGCCTCTGGCGTCTGGAGGACACGGGTCTGGGGGGCCGGCCAGTGCCCCCTCCCCATGTTAGAGGGGGTGGCCAGGTGGGCTGCAGGGGTCTGAGCTCCTGGGCTGGGTAGGACTCTCCAGACCCTCTAGCAAAGTTGGTGCCCTGCAGGGGGCAGCCAGGCCACTGCCCACTGCCCTGGGGGTGGCTGTGCTCCAAACCCCAGTCCAGGAACCCTAAATGGGACCTGATGGAGAACAGGGTCGGCCCCGATGGAATCGGTGGGCGTGTGCTCATCAGGCAGGGGCCGGGGGCCTTCGGGAAGGGGGCGCTGGTGCAGAGGCACCCGAGGGCCCCGGCCATGGAGGCAGAGGGGGTGGCTACAGCGGGGCACGCACCAGGGAGGCCGCCGGGAGGCCCACGCCGGGGCCTTGGGCTTCTGACCCGGAGCGGCAGCAGCAGGCTCCGCTGTGAAGCCCCCGCCTGTGGCTCTCGTTCGACCCCCAGCCCTACTGTGCGCTCGGCGCCCCGGGGTGGACACATGGTGGGAAGTGCTGGGCGGTGTTGGTGGCCAGCCAAGTGGGGCCCAGCCCCCGTGCTGGTGCTTCCCAGCACCCGCTCCGCAAACCTTCTCGAAGCTTAGAGACCCTGAGGCCCCGGCCGCCCGGAAGGGTCTGCTCTGACCTGCAGCTTCCTGGCCAGGCCGCCCTCCAGCCCGTGCCCAGGCGCCCAGGGCCGGCGCAGGGTGGGCCGGGCCTGGCACGGGTGTCCCCGCGGTGGCCTGAGGGGGCCCAGGCCTCTCCCCACGCCGCGGGGGCCGCGGGCCCTGAATGCACGTCCAGCGGCCGGCCGGGGCGGGGGCGCCGCGGATCCTGCAGGACTGTAGATGATCTTGGCTTCCCGGGAAAAGCTGCTCGTCTTGAAAGCACCAGCCAGCGAAAGCACCAGGAGAACGCGAGCCCTTGCCAGGGCGGGGGAGGGGCGGCGTTTGCTGGAGACAATGAAACAGTTTTGGGGATACAGAGTGGCGAGCAGGCCGGGCTCCCTCCACGAGACCCGCCCTCCGGCCCTTCAGCCACCCCGCCGGGGCCATCACAGCACCTGAGCCAGCGCTAGGGAGGCCTTTCCCCAAAGCACCGGCCGCCCCTCCCCGCCCGCCCCCCGGCGCCCGCCTTCTTTACAAGAACCCCCTCCTCTCCCGGCTCCCGCTCCCCGGGCCGGCGGCCTGTCCACGCGGCTGGGCGCAGCCCGGGTGACCCGCCGGGGCGGGAAGCCCGGGGGGCAGCGGGGGCCCGCCACCCCCACCTGGCGGACCCCAGGCCAAGGGCGCGGCGGGCAGTGGGCTTGGGCCTCATTGTCCCGGCCCCGTCTGTTCCGGCCTCGGGGCGGGCCTGCCCGCTCCACTCGGGCAGCGCGTGGGGGCGACACGCGGGGCGGGCAGGGCGCGGGGCCCAGGTGTCTCTCCGCCTCGCGTGTGAAAGCCCCTCGCGGCGCGGCGGCGTGGTCAGCAGAACAAAGCACGGGGCGCGCGGCCCCTCTCCCGCCAAGGGTCGGGGGCCACTCTCTCCTGACCAGCCCGGCCAGCCGCGGCGGCGGGCAGGGGACACTTAATTGTGCAGCCCGTTTGCTGGCAGGAGCCGCGTCCAGCGGGCAGCCCGCATGATAATGAGACAGTTTCTATGGAAATGAGCTTATAACTATTCATTTTCTCCCCATTCCCGACCCATCCACAAAGAGGTTTTCCAAAATGACCCCCATTTTCCTGCCCCCAACATCTCCTCACGCCACTGCCCGTCCTGCTAATCAGCTCGCGGAGAAAGGAGGGGAACGGCCCGCCTTTGACGAGATGTGGGAACGCCGGGGCTGCAGCCTGTGCGGCTGTGACCGGCAAACAAAGAGCCTCGCCTGCTCCGCGGCCAAGTTTCAAATAAACTTTCCCTGAGCACTTTCGGGCGCGTTTTGTGTGCTTTCCGCCCAGATCGGATGAGCTCCGTGGCCGCCTTCCGAGCAGCTTTGCAAACTGCTCTGCTCTCGGGGCGTCCCCGCCGCCCCCCGCGGCTCCAGCCCTGTGTTTCTTGGGGCAGAAAGGCCGGGGTCACGCAAAAAACACCCACGCCTCGCCCTCCAGGCCCGAGGGGGAGGCGGGCGCAGGAGGGGCCGCCCAGCACGGCTCCTCCTGCAGGGTCTGAGACAACGCGGCCGCGTGGCGGGGCGGGGGGGAGGCGGAGAAGCCCCCTTGGAGCTTGGCCTGAGACTCCTCCTGGGTGACCCCAGACCAGGCCGGACTCCCGGGGCCTTGCCCCCCACCCCCGGGACGGCAGACGCAGAACTAGGCCGGCCCTCCCGCCGCCCCTGCAGGCTCTTTGGTCCGTGGTGACGGTGGCGGGATGTGGTTCTCTGGTTCCTGGGCCAAGAGGGGGCCCAGAGGCCCCCCCAACACAGGGAAGGTGGACCCTGGATCACGAGCGGCACGTTCCTCAAGGCGCCTGGCCCCCATCTTTCTCAAGCCACTGCTGGGCACCCCCAGCCCCCAGCGATGCCTGCCGAGCACAGGGGGTGCAGGGAGGGGGGACACTCGGCCTCTCAGGCCTGCCCCCAGGGGCTGACTCGGGGGCCTGTGCACCGGGGGCCGGGAACCCCTTCCCTCGGGCCGCCACGGCCTCCCTGCCCATCTGGAGCGGGGCCACCGGCCTGTGGGGCTGCAGCTGGGTCTCCGCTCCGCTCCTGCCAGCCCAGCCTGCCGCGTCTTAAAGGAAAACGTGTGACAAGCCCTTCAGCTCAGACTCCGGAAAGGAGGGACCCGCAGGCCGAGCCTGCCCCTCGGTCCTCTCTCCTCCGGCCCCGGCAGCGTCCAAACTGCCTTCTCAGCAATCAAAGAAAATATCAGCTTTAAATTTAACTGACTTAGCAAAAAGCCTGAAATGTCAGCGGCTCAGTTGTAAGTCGCAGACAAAACGCATCTCTAAAACACGCCGCCGGGGGTGGCCCCCGAGCCGCCCTGGGCTTCACGGAGGCGGCTTTCACCAAGCGAGGGCTGCTCCTTTTCTGGAAAGTCACCCCTCAGGACACGCGGCAGCAACTTGGTTTGGCTGCTTTCACCCCCGCGGCTCGCTGGGGTCTCGGACGCGTGGGCCCGCTGGGGGCGAGGGGCTGTCACGGCCGGCGGTGTCGGCGTGTGTGAGCCGGGGGAGGCCACGCCCCGCTGCCCGCACCCACGGGCGACAGAACCCGGCCTCCCTGGGCGGCGGCAGGGAGGGGAGCTTGGTCCTGAAAAGCTGTTTCTGCATTTCCTTTCCGTGACCAGCCGTCATCACGGTTTCTTCCTCGTCATCTAGGACCTCGTCCACATTAATTAGGGGGTGAGCAGAGGTCCCTGCACGTCAGATGCCCACGCTACGGGGTGTCCGGCAGCACCCAGCCCAGCTGCCGCCCCCCTCGCCTGCCTCCACGCAGCGCACCCGCACCCAGCCTCTCAGCACTCGCGGCGGCCGCCGGCCAGCAGCGGCAGCTCAGCCACCTGCTCCGGCACTTGGCACACCTGAGACCCGGTGCCTGCCCGCGACCTTTGCCGCCTCTGCCTCCACGGTCCCTGTCCTCGGGGTGGACCAGCCCCCCCAGACCACCGGCTTGGGCTGAGCGTTTGCGCAGGGAGATCCAAGGCCCTTCCACCCCAGGGCACCGCGGTGGCCTGGAGCCCCGGCAGGGCGGGCGGGGCTGGCGCGGTCACACCTGACAGAGAAACGCGAGACTCGGGTAAGCCCGGCTCCCACGCCGCGTGTGCTGCTCAGCGGAGTTTCTACGGGACTGGGCGTCTGGAATTTTCTACCTGCTCACTCGGCCAGCCCCAGGCTGAC